TCTTCCATTATTTTAACAGTTGTCAATAAAATAGTATTAGAAAAGCATACTCTTCAGAGATGTAATGGGAGTAAATTATAAAGTATTTTTGATAGTCTAAGATGAAAGACGTTATTACTTACACAGTCATCAATGCATTCCACATTATGAATTAAAATTCCACATTATGAATTTTATCAAAATTACATAGAAAATTATTAGTTCAGTCCAGCAACAAGTCTAATATAAAAATGAAAATCTCCTGGGTCATGCTATCCTATGCCAAATTCCTGTTAAACAGAGGCATGATTTATTCCAGTGACCTTGCTGTTTCTCCATAACTGTAATATGTCTAATGTTAGACATTTCAAATTAACATTCTATTAGGTAAACTGAGAATTTAGGTCTCTCACACCACCCAGACACATACTCTATATTTACCCACAAAATCCAAATATGGTAATATAACTGGATTAATATGTTCATATGACTATATAATTGTTCACAGCTGAGCCACTTAGGTACTATAATTTGATACACAAATTTTGTTTTACTGTGATTAAAATTGCCTGATACTTTACTTGCTGCATTTTCTGTTTATCTCTTTCAGCCCCATATCTGCTACTCTCTAAAGTTCCTCTCCAAACTCCACATGTAATTTGTTGATTTTATTCATTTTCTTTGTAGCGCTCAATCTCCGGAAGCCCTCTATCATCTTAGCATGAACTGAAATTTGATGATATGATGCACGGCTGTCATCTGAGGCCTTTCATGTTTCCATTACCCTAAGCATCAACTGTTATTTTTTGTCTTATGTCCAGAGGTTTTAAGTCTATTGTTGTCTGAGTCCCTTGTTTCCCTTCTTAGTTTTTCCCTTCTTTTGGTGCGCGTATCACCAGGTAGTTCCCTGAGAAAGGGGACTTGGAAGATGTGCCAGTCATTTCCCTGTGTGCTGTGAGATGTGGGAATGTGTGCTAGGCCCAGCATCACATCTGGAAGAGGGTCAAGAACATTTGTGAAGGCCACACATGCCTGAGACCAGAGTTCAGAGTGCCTGACCACGACTCATACTCAATCAGAACATCAGAGAACATGAATTTCCCCAACTCCCAAAACCACACTAACAGGAGTTGAGTAAAAATAACAGTAGAATCTAGTTTGAGAAATGAAAGAGACATATCACGAGGGGAGTGTGAAGCCTTGAATGCACTAAGGGTAACCATAGAAATAACAAACTTCAAACTCTGCCTAACCTCTGGCTTGATTAATACAAACACACCCTCCCTACAAGCCTAGCAGAAGGGAAACAAGTTCATTTCTTCTATTGGTTGAATTGTGTTCTGCCAAAAACATCTATTGAAGTGCTAACCCCAGTGCTTCAGATGTGACCTCATTTGGAAATTAGGTCTTTACCAAGGTAATCTTTTAAGGCCGGGTGTGGTGGCTCACGCCCGTAATCCCAGCACTTTAGGAGGCCGAGGCGGGTGGATCACCTGAGGTCAGGAAATCGAGACCAACCTGGCCAACACGGTGAAACCCTGTCTCTAGTAAAAATACAAAAATTAGCTGGGCGTGGTGGTGGGCACCTGCAATCCCAGCTACTCGGGAGGCTAAGGCAGCATCGCTTGAACTTGGGAGGGGGAGGTTGCAGTAAGCCGAGACTGTCCGTTGCACTCTAGCCTGGGTGACAATAGTGAAACTCCATCTCAAAAAAAAAAAAAAGAAGTAATCAGTTCAAATGAGGCCATTAGGGTGGGCCTTAATCTGAGTGCCGTCCTTATAAAAATAGAAAATTTTGACACGAAGATATGCGCAGAGGAAGGTTACGTGAGGAAACATGGGGAGAATGCCATCGGAGTGATGCATCTACTAGCCAAGGAATGACAGATTGGCAGCAACCCACCAGAGCCTGGAGGCATGGAAGCAATTCTGTATCACAGCCCTCAGAAAGAACCAATTCTGCCAACACCCATATTTTGGACTCAGCCTCCAGGACTGTGAGACAATAAATTTCCTGTTATGTAAACGATCCAGTTTGTGATACCTTATTAGGGTATTCCCTCCAAAACTAATATAATCTACAAGTATAAAAATGTTTACCTCAGTATGTATTTTTCTATATATGTCTGGTTTTTATCAAAAACAAAAAAATACAAGGCATACAAAAAAAGTAAAAGGAAAATAAGCCACACTCTGAAGAGACAAAATGAACATCAGAACCATACTAAGCTATGACACAAATGTAGGAAATCTCATGAAAAATAATTGTAATTGATATGTTAAAGGCTTTAGTGGAAAATAAAGACAATATGCAGGAGTAGATAGATAATTTCATCAGCGAGTTGGAAACTATAAAATCAAATGGAAGAGCTAGGCGCGGTGGCTCACACCTGTAATCCTAGCACTTTGGGAGGCTGAGGTGGACCATCGCTTGAGGTTAGGAGTTCGAAACCAAGCTGACCAACATGGTGAATCCCTGTCTCTACTAAAAATAATATAAAAAAAATTGCCAGGTGTGGTGGCAGGCACCTGTAATCCCAGCTACTCGGGAGGCTGAGGGAGAATTACTTGAGAGGTGGAGGCTGCAGTGAGCCGAGATCGTGCCACTGCACTCTACACTCTAGCCTGGGTGACAAAGTGAGACTCCGTCTCAAAAAAAAAAAAAAAAAAAAAAAAAATCAGATGGAAATGCTAGCAGTGAAAACCACAGAAAAGAGATGAAGATGCCTCATTAGTACCCTCAATACACTGAGGGAAATAATCAGTGAACTTGAAGACAGATAAACAAACTACCCAAACTGAAATATAAAGTGAAAAGAATAAAAAACAAAAACCAAGAACTGTGGGACAGTATCAAACAGTGTCATTTACGGACACTTGGAATCTCAGAAAGAGGAAATCTCATCACTAGGAAATGAAGGCAAAAATAAATAAAATTTAAAAAGAAAAACAGAGGAAATACTCATAAAAAATCATGGCCACGTATTTAGTTACAGACACTAAAACTCCAGAAACAAGAAGTCCAGAGAACACCAAGCATGATGAATATCAAAACACACACACACACACACCCCAAAACAAGAAAAAAATGACAACATATCTCCAAACATATGAACATATCAATCAAATTCAAACTGCTTAAAATTAAAATCAAAAACAATCTTGAAGGCAGTCCAAATAAAAAACTACATTACTGCTATGCATGCCTTAACTATGGGAATATGTTCTGAGAAGTACGTCATAGGATGATTTCATCATTCTGTGAACGTCACAGAGTATGTTATGTTAGATTGCAGTTGTGTAGCTTATGATGCCTGTAAGCTACACGGTACAGGTGAATGCTCCTAGGCTATAAACCTGTACAGCACGTTACTGTACTGAATACTATAGAAATTGTAACACAATGGCAAGTATTTGTGTATCTAAGTATATGTAAGCATAGAAAATTTCCATAAAAATGCAATTTTATAATCTTATAGGACCACCGTCATGTATGTGGTCAGTGGCTGAACCACTGTTTTGCCGTGCATGACTACTGACAAAGGAAGGAGGATAAGAATTACAATAGACCTCTCATCAGAAAATGTGAAATCAAGGAGATAATAGTTACTTCTGTAAATAAAAAAAATCTTGCCAACTCACAATTCTATAACCGATTAGCACATTTCTCAAAAGCAATTGAAAAATACTTAGAAAAATAAAATGGAGGGAATTTGTTGCCATCAAGCAGACACTACAAGGAATGTTAAAGTACTTCAGGCCAAAGGAATATTATAGATGTCAGAAACTTGTGTTTACACAAAGAAATAAAGTGCATAAAATAAAGGTAATTGCTCTAACAGATAACTAGCTGTTTAAAACAATAATAAGGTCAGGCACAGTGGCTCACGCCTGGAATCCCCGCACTTTGGGAGGCCGAGGCAGGTGGATCACGAAGTCACCAGACTGAGACCATCTTGGCTAACACGGTGAAACTCCATTTCTTCTAAAAAAAAAAAAAAAAAAAAAAAAAAAAAAAAAAAAATTGCCGGGCGTGGTGGCAGGCACCTGTAGTCCCAGCTGTCCGCAGGCTGGGGCAGGAGAATGGCATGAACCCGGGAGGCGGAGCTGGCAGTGAGCCGAGATCGGGCCACTGCACTCCAGCCTGGGCGACAGAGCGAGACTCCATCTCAAAAAAAAAAGAGTATTTTTCCAGCATATGTAAAAGTATTGCATGAATACAAGACCACAAAGAATCAGTGAGAATTGGGAATATACTATTATTACAAGGTTCTTAAACTGAAAGGGAACCAGTATAATTTCACTTAAAGGAGGCCTCAAATTATTTTCTTTTTTTTTTTTTCTGAGACGGAGAGTTGCTGGGACTACAGGCGCCCGCCACCTCGCCCGGCTAGTTTTTTGTATTTTTTAGTAGAGAGGGGGTTTCACCGTGTTAGCCAGCATGGTCTTGATCTCCTGACCTCGTGATCTGTCCGTCTCGGCCTCCCAAAGTGCTGGGATTTCAAATTATTTTCAAATGTATACTGTAAACCTCTGGAAGAACCACTAAAAAATGTTTTTAAAAGATGTATACAATAAGGCCAGACATGATGGCTCATGCCTGTAATCCCAGCACTTTGGGAGGCCGAGGCAGGTGGATGACCGAGGTCAAGAGCGAGATCATCCTGGCCAACACGGTGAAACCCAGTTTCTATTAAAAGTACAAAAATTAGGCTGGACGCGGTGGCTCATGCCTATAATCCCAACACTTTGGGCAGCTGAGGCGGGCATATTACGAGGTCAAAAGATCAAAACCATCCTGGCCAACATAGTGAAACCCCGTCTCTACTAAAAATACAAAAATTAGCTGGGCATGGTGGTGTGCGCCTGTAGTCTCAGCTATTTGAGAGGCTGAGGTTGCAGTAAGCTGAGATTGTGCCACTGCACTCCAGCCTGGTGACACAGCGAGACTCCATCTCAAAAAAAAAAAAACAAAAAAAACCTAGCTGGGCGTGGTGGCACATACCTGTAGTCCCAGCTACTCAGGAGGCTGAGGCAGGAGAATCACTTGAACCTGGGAGGCGGAAATTGCAATAAGCTGAGATTGCACTACTACACTCCAGCCTGGTGACAGAGCGAGACTCTGTCTCAAAAAATAAATAAATAAAAAGTTAATAGAAGAGATTAAAATTTAATCATTAAAACATGGTTGATTAAACCCAGAGAAGCAAGGCATGGTGGTGTGTACCTATAGTCCCAGCTATTCGGGAGGCTGAGGCAGGAAGATCTCCTGAGCCCAGGAGTTTGGGGATACAGTGGGCTATGATTGTGCCTGTGAATAGCTATTGAATGCTAGCCTGGGCAATATAGCCAGACCCTGTCTTAATCCTAGCACTTTTGAAGTCCAGGGTGGGTGGATCACTTGGAGCCAGGAGTTTGAGTCCAACCTGGGCAACGTTAGTTAAGATCTTGTGTCTAATAAAAACAAAAACCAGAGAAGTCAAAATCAGCCTTCTTTTAAAGTTTCTATGAGACACTCACCAAGAGAAACCACATCATAGGCTATGAAACACACTCTCACACATTTAAAGAATAGAAACATACAAAATTAAAAAGTTGGTATTATAGAAAAATCTCTGAGAAATCCACAAAAATGTGAAAATTAGTACACTTCTAAATACCCCTTGGGTCAAAGAGTCTCAGGAAAATTAAATATTTTGAGCAAAATACAAATACAGTATTTCCAGGGAAATTTATAGCATTAAATTTATAACATATATTAGAAAAGAAGATCTAAAATCAGTAACTTAACCCTTTACCTTAAGAAACTAGAAAGAAAAAAAGCAAATGTAACGCTTTTCAATGTAAAGCATACAGAAGGACGAAAATAAAAATTAGAGCAGAAATCAATAAAATTGAAACTGGAAACAAGACAGAAAATCAACAAAACCAAAGCTGATTCTTTGAAAGATAAAAATAGAGGTAATAAATTGATAACTGCCACAAACTGCCCAACCTAGTATGGGATTTCAAATGCACGCTCTTTCCACTATCTCAGTGCCTTAGTTTTGGCAATGAGTAAGGAATAGAACAATTAGGAAGAAGCCTGATTATGTAGGGGAAATAGGGAAAAGAATATTATAGCAATGATTTCTTGGGACATAAGGTTGGTGGTGGAATATTAAGTAGCCAGAAACTGGCAAGAGGAGTGCAGAGTAGGGATGCTGGAAATACACAATTATATTTTTCATTTACAAAACCCTTTATCACTTACAAAAATGACTGTCTTTAAACTATGATTGTTTTCTTGTCCAAGGAAGCCACTGCGTTCACAGTTCACAGATCCTCAAATATTTCAGTTAATCCATATTTCTCTAATAACACTTATTTCACCAATGTCATCCTATTTTTGATGTCTACTATAATTCATTACTGTAATTTAGCCAGGAGGTATGTAATTTTCTCTGGATTGGTTAAGATTAAGATAACTGGCCAGGCGTGGGGGCTCATGCCTTTATAATCTCAGCACTTTGGGAGGCTGAGGCAGGTGGATCACTTGAGGTCAGGAGTTTAAGACCAATATGGTGAAATATGATGAAACCCCGACTCTACCAAAAAATACAAAAATTGACCAGGCGTGTTGGCACGTGTCTGTAATTCCAGCTACTTGGGAGGCTGAGGTGCAAGAAATTGCTTAAACCCAGGAGGCAGAGGCCACAGTTAGCAGAGATCACGCCACTGCACTCCAGCCTGGGCAACAGAGCTAGACTCCATCTCAAAAAAATAAAAAATAAAAATAATTGAAGCATTGCAATAGTACCTGGAGCTTAAATTTATCCATTATAATGCCAGCTGACTTTGGGTGCAAGTTCCTGACCAAATTTGTGTAACTGACTAAATGTCATGCTTATAGAACATTTGTTTATGCTCATATATTTCATAATACATTGCAGATATAACTATATATTTCTCAATTTAAAAGGTTAAAAACATGTAAATTGTTTCAAAACTATAATTCCAGACCAAGCAAAACTTCTGATTAAATATCAGGATAGACTAAAGACATTTTCAGAGGCCAGGCATGGTGGCTCACGCCTGTAATCCCAGCACTTTGGGAAGCCGAGGTGGGTGGATCACAAGGTCAGGAGATGGAGACCATCCTGTCTAACATGATGAACCCCCGACTGTACTAAAAATACAAAAAAATTAGCAGGCCGTGGTGGTAGGCGCCTGTAGTCCCAGCTACTCGGGAGGATGAGGCAGGAGAATGGCATGAACCCGGGAGGCGGAGCTTGCAGTGAGCCAAGATCATGCTACTGCACTTGAGCCTGGGCAACAGATCGAGACTCCGTCTCAAAAAAAGAAAAAACAAAAAACAAAAAACAAAGGTCTCAAAAACTTTATTTCCCATGAGCCTTATTAGAAAGCTACTGAAGGATGTGCTCCAATTAAACAAGAAACCAACTTTCAAATGGAAAAACATAAAAACAGGTAAAACAATTCAAGAGATGCCAAGAATATCTCCAAGATACCTGAGCAGCTGGCTTAGTGAACAAATGTGCCTGCGTTGCAGATTAGAGGGCTCCTTGAGAGTATTCTGCAAGATGAAAATGGTGTAAAGCCAGATGCCTTTAAATGAATTCAGGGAATCAGACAAGTGCAGGGGACAGTTTGGGAATGAATTAAGAATAAGAACATGGAGCTCTTTCCTTTTGCAGACATCACTGAAGTGGGAGCAGCCAAAATGAAGTTCAGTCCCTTTGTGACTTCTGACAGAAGCAAGAACCGCAAAAGGCATTTCAATGCACCTTCCCACAGTCACAGACTTTGTCTTCCTTTCTTTCCAAATTACTGAGACAGAAGTACAACGTTTGATCCACGCCTATCCAATAGGATGAAGTTCAGGTTGTACGAGGACACTATAAAGGTCAGCAACTTGGCAAAGCAGTCCAGGTTTACAGGAAGAAATACGTCATCTACACTGAACAGGTGCAGTGGGAAAAGGCTAATGGCACAACTGTCCATGTAGGCATTCACGCCAGTAAAGTGGTTATCACTAGGCTAAAACTGGACAAAGACTGCAAAAAGATCCTTGAAAAGAAAGTCAAATCTCGCCAAGTAGGAAAAGAAAAGGGCAAAACAAGGAAGAAACAATTGAGAAGATGCAGAAATAAAGTAATCTTATATAGAAGCTTCGGTTAAAAAGTGAAATAAAAAAAAAAAAAAAAAAAAGAATAAGAACATGGAAAACAAAGCATACTGACGATGAGATTATTTACTACAGGGAACAGTTATAGAAAAAACAAAATGCCAATCACTGCACAATGCATGGTGAGAAATGAATGTTATTCAAATAGTCAAAATAAATGTGAGACAGTATTTTAAAATAAAAATGATAAATTCTATTTCAATGGTATTGAAATAATCAAAATAAATATGAGAAAATATTCTAAAACAAAAATGATAAATTCTATTAGAAGGGCCACTAGGTGAAGGCTGTTCCAAGTTCTTATCTTCCAAAGTGGGACATAATACTTCAAACTAAAAAATCCGAAAGTATTATTAGAATGTGATTTGGTGACTGTAAAAGAGCTGAAAAGTTCAGAGTGGCTGCCTCTGAAAAGCTGGCAGGAATGGTTATAAAGCAATATTTGTAAATCAAAAAAATTTTGTAAACAATAATTTATAAACTATAATTATTATTGTAAACAATAATTTATAAACCTAGATTTTTAAAAACTGTGCTTTTGGGCTGGGTGCAGTGGCTCACGTCTGTAATCCCAGCTCTTTGGGAGGCCGAGGTGGGCAGAACACCTGAGGTCAGGAGTTCAAGACCAGATTGGCCAACATGGTGAAACTCCGTCTCTACTAAAAACACAAAAATTAGCCAGGTGTGGTAGTGGGAGCCTATAATCCCAGCTACACCGGAGGCTGAGGCACGAGAATCGCTTGAACCCGGGAGGCAGAGGTTGCAGTGAGCCAAGATAGGGCCATTGCACTCAAGCCTAGGCAACAGAGCGAGACTCCATCTCAAAAAAGAAAGAAAGAAAGAAAGAAAAGAAAAGAAAAGAAAAGAAAAGAAAAGAAAAGAAAAAAGAAAGAAAGAAAGAAAGAAAGAAAGAAAGAAAGAAAGAAAGAAAGAGAAAGAAAGAGAGAGAAAGAAAGAAAGAAAGAAAGAAAGAAAGAAAGAAAGAAAGAAAGAAAGAAAGAAAGAAAGAAAGAGACAGAAAGACAGGGAAAGAAAGGGAAAGAAAGATGGATGATCAATGATCTAGCTTACACAGGAAGAAATATCGATGTCTTTATTTGCCCATGACATGACTACCTCTGCAGAAAATCCAATGGAATCTACATAAGAGCTCCTAGAAGTGAGTTTAGCAAGCTTATAGGAAATAAGATTAATGCACAAAAATCAATTTCTATGCTCTAGTAATGAACAATTAGAATTGAAATAATCAACATAAAAATATCAAATACTTAAGGACAAATCTGACAAAAGAGGCTAAACACATGTACATTGAAAACTACACATTTCAGACAAGTTAATGACATAAAAATCGATGGACCAGACTAGATTCATTGTCTCAGTTATGTCTGCTAGCTGACGTGTTAAGATGTCAATTTTTTCCACATTAATCTAAAAAGATACAACAGAATCCCATCAAAAGCTCACCAGTCTTTTTTGTTAACACAAGTTTTTCCAAATGTCACATGTGATCTATTGAACGATATTAATCTCTGAATTAACAGAATAAACCTAAGGAGGAAAACATGGAACTAAGTTAAGATGGATTCTGAGACTAGAGATCAGTTCCCAAAGTCAAGTGAAGGACAGGAGCTGAACAGCACTAGAAGGTACCCTGTCCGGAGGGAACAGAAGATTATCTACTGGTTATGTGTATACGTGTGTGTGGTAGAGGAGGCTGTTAAGAGTGCCATCTCATTTTCTTTCCTTTGTTTTTGAGATTGAGTTTCGCTCTTGTCACCCAGGCTGGAGTGCAATGGCCCAATCTCAGCTCACTGCAACCTCCGCCTCCCGGGTTCAAGAGATTCTCCTGCCTCAGCCTCCTGAGTAGCTGGGATTACAGGCATGTGCCACTACGTGCGACAATTTTTTTCGTTTGTTTTTGAGATGGAGTCTTGCTCTGTTGACCAAGCTGGAGTGCAACAGTGCAATCTCGGCTCACTGCAAACTCTGCCTCCGGGGTTCACACCATTCTCCTGCCTCAGCCTCCCGAGTAGGTGCGACTACAGGCGCCCGCCACAATGCCTGGCTAATTTTTTTTTTTGTAGTTTTAGTAGAGATAGGGTTTCACTGTGTTAGCCAGGATGGCCTTGATCTCCTGATCTCGTGATCCGCCCACCTCGGCCTCCCAATAATTTTTTTGTATTTTTAGTAGAGACAGGGTTTCACCATTTTGGCCAGTATGCTCTCGAACTCCTGACCTCAGGTGATCGGCCCACCTTCACCTTCCAAAGTGCTAGGATTACACGCGTGAGTCAATGCATCCGACCAACCTCTCAGCTTCTATAGGACTAAGGCAGTACTGACAAAGATGCACAGAATAAAAAAGTTACTTAGGAATACTGAGGTAAACAGATGAAAGGGGAAAGTGGCACTGGGCATGGTGGTTAATGCCTGTAATCCCAGTGCTTTGGGAGGCTGAAGCAGGATTTACTGCGTGAGGCCATAAGTTCAAGACCAGCCTGGGCAAAATAGAAAAAAAGAAAAAGAAAATTTTAATTAAAAAAAAAAAAAAAGAAAAAGTTGATAGTGGCTATCTTTACATATCAGGTAGTCCAAGAGTAATGATGAATGCCTTTAATAAAGACTTAATCTTGGCCGGGCGCAGTGGCTCACGCCTGTAATCCCAGCACTTTGGGAGGCCGAGGCAGGTGGATCACCTGAGGTCGGGAGTTCAAGACCAGCCTGACCAACATGGAGAAACCACGTCTCTACTGAAAATTCAAAATTAGGCATGGTGGTGCATGCCTGTAATCCCAGCTACTCAGAAGGCTGAGGCAGGAAAATCACTGGAAGCCAGGAGGCAGAGGTTGCAGTGAGCTGAGCTCGCACCACTGCACTCCAGCCTGGGTGACAGAGCGAGACTCCATCTCAAAAAAAAAAAAAAAAACTTAAAGGAAAAATATATAGGCAACACAGAAAAAACATACTGGGCTTCTATTGGCAATTATAGGAGTAATAGTTTTCTTATATAATACATTCCTTCAGTAATATATTTTTCAAGTATTTTGTCTTAGAATTTCTAAGGTAGTTTGCCATTGACCCCGCAATTTTTTTTTTTTTTTTTTTTTTTAGAGGGAGTTTCGCTCTTGTTGACCAGGCTACAGGCTGGAGTGCAATGGTGCAATCTCGGCTCACTGCAACCTCCGCCTCCTGGGTTCAGGTGATTCTCCTGCCTCAGCCTCCCGAGTAGCTGGCATTACAGGCATGCGCCACCATGCCCAGCTAATGTAGTATTTTTAGCAGAGACAGGATTTTTCCATATTGATCAGGCTGGTCTTGAACTCCCAACCTCAGGTGATCTGCCCGCCTCAGCCTTCCAAAGTGCTGGGATTACAGGCTTGAGCTACCACGTCTGGCCGACTCCATAATTTATTATAAAGTAGGTCCTATAATCACATATTTTTAGAAGTTGCTGAAACTGAGATATAAACGATTCTGTTTTTTTGTGGGGAAAACTGGACAAATTACAGAATGGCCAAAACTAGATTCACTGGCTCAGTTATGTCTAATAGTTGAAACAAAATGACAGTCTTTTAATAGTTCTTCATTCAGAATCTGTTACTGTAGCAATTTTAAGAGGTCTTGAGTCAGTTTCAGTATAAAAATAAGGCCAAAGTGCTCCTGTAAAATCATCATTAAAAGTATAGAGAAGAGATCTATCATTCAAATTATAAAAGGAAACTTCATTCATTTCATAGTCTAAAAAAATGCCAATCTTACTAGGTGTTACTTTGGGCAGCAGAATTATTTCCTTATGGCCCAATACAATATAATTATTCTGACTAGATCGCCAAATTCCCCATAGTCCATCCTGTACTAAAATTGGTTGACTCTTCCTCCTTCTGGGAAGAGAGTCATTACAGACACCAATAATCCATTCAGGCTTGTCTTTTACTTCTACTTCCCAGTACTGCCTGCCGCAACTATATCCCTTAGAACCCAGGACAGCTGGGAGGAGATAAAATCTTCTTGGGTTACGAGGTAAGTTTTGTGTTGTATTTCCATACCGCACCGTTTTTCTATCTTCTGAGACTATAAGTTTACGATGTGCTGTTTCAGGATCTAGAATTACATCTACTTGAAATCACTTGATAATTTTGTTTAGGCCAGAATATTGTGGAGGCAGATGGTAACCATATTCTTTTAATTTGAATGAAAAAGGTTCAGGGAATTTTAAATTTTTATATCTGTGATAGATATCCTTAACATTAGCCAGTAATTCCAGTTCTGACTTCACATGTATGCTGTCTATCTCCTTTAGTAGATATTTTAATAAGGAGGTATAATCTGAAAATTTTGTTAGGCTTTCATTTAGTTGTGCTAAAATATCCATCTCTTCATCTTGTAATTGCCTAAAAACAGTCTCTTGCTCATTTTGCAGAAATAACCTAAGTTGCTCAAATTCAGACTTGACTTCTTCTGCCCTATGTTTTACCTGTTTCTTCAGTTCTAGTGATTTTGTGGTTTGTATAGTTCCACTCTCTCCTTCCACAGTGCATTACATTCCTCCAGTTTCTTCCTATGATACGAGGCAGCCTTCTTTATGGGCCAAACACAGTGATGCTGGTGATCAGTGGAGAAACTGCACCTTGGACATAAAAGCTCTAGGTCTTTCTGACAGAAGAAAGTCAAAAGCTGATTATGCTTCTTACACACATGCTTCTCTTCCTGCCTCTTCCTCTTGCTTCTTATCTGGAGTTGCTTAGCAAGTTCAAACTACCCAGCGGGGGATTGCTAACACATTTCCTTTCTGGACAGCAAAAGTGGCAAAAGGGGCAGGGGAAACTATCATCTAGATCTTCCAGGACATAATGATGCAGGAGAGACAGAAGTTATGCCCGCAGCTGATGGTCACTGGGTCTTTCAAGTAGTCGAGACAGATGGGACAGCTAGCCTCTGCTCGGAGGTCAGCCAGGGCCGCCACAAATTCCACTGAGCCTTGAACAAAGATGGTAGGTAAGATAATTCTTTTAGTTTAGCAAGGCCTAGCTCTCTAGAGCTCATGACCCACTAGGTCTGGGGAAGAAGTGGATATCTTCCCCAGACCTTGAAATCTGGCCAGCTTTCAGTTTTACTGACTTGGCATGTTAATGGCAGCTTCTGGAAACTTGTTAACCCCTCAATCTGTTCATAACTCCCCATAAGTCAGGACAACATTTTTCACCTTAGCTCACCATTCAGAGCCCTTCATATTTCATTATCTTCATCTGGCTACAGTCCCCTAAAGTACTGGGCCAAAACCATCCAACCAACCAACCTAGGTGCCATGCTTTCCCTCTTCACAAACCACTTGCTGCATAGATTACCCTACCCTCACTTCTTTCCTAGGACTAAGTTTTGGTCCTTCTAGAGACTCAGCCCAAGAGAAATGTTCTCTAAGATAATTTATTAAATATCAGGCACTATGCTAAGGATCTAGGATCTTCCACACAGTCACAGGTTCAACTAAACCATCAGAACAACTCCATAAGTTAGGAGGTATCATCCTCAGTCAGAGCTGTAAAAGCAGAGTCTACAAGAATTTGAACACGCTTATCCAACATTATGCTAATTGGCATAACCACTGGCATGATACTCAATCACTAAGTTGTAGTGCTCCTTCTTTACACTCCCACATCATCCTATGCATCTCTCTGTATATCAAATCACCTTACATTTTTCATATTTGATATGTTCAGTTGTTCATATTTAATAACTTACCTCCATTTTTTTTTTTTCTTTAGCTGGAGTTTTTCACTCTTGTCACCCAGGCTGGAGTGCAATGGCACAATCTTGGCACAGTGTAGCCTCTGCCTCCCAGGTTCAAGTGATTCTCCTGCCTCAGGCTCCCAAGTAGCTGGGATTATAGGCACGCACCGCTGCGCCTGGCTAATTTTTTCTATTTAGTAGAGATGGGGTTTCACCATGTTGGTCAGGCTGGTCTCAAACTCCTGATCTCTGGTGATCCACCCACCTTGGCCTCCCAAAGTGCTGGGATCACAGGTGTGAGCCACCGTGCCTGGCCAACATATCCCAAATATTTTAACGGGTTAAAATGGGCTTATTGATCCAACACTACAATGGTGAAAAAAGAAAAAATACAAATTGACAGATAGCAATACCTAACAGAATTGGGTATTCATCCAATGGTAACACTTAACTAGTTACATGTACTTGGTCAAGTTAATTTCTCTGAGTTTCACTTCTCAGAAAGTAGGAAAAAATACTATATTACATTTTAAGCATAAATGAATAAATTAAGATACCTGCCACAGTCCTTGGCATTTAATACATATACAGTAAAAAGTATTATAGGCTGGGCATGGTGGCTCACGCCGGTAATCCCAGCACTTTGGGAAGCCCAGGCAGGTGGGTCACCTGAGGTCAGGAGTTCGAGACCAGCCTGGCCAACATGGTGAAACCCTGTCTCTACTAAAAAATACAAAAATCAGCTGGGCATGGTGGCAGGTGCCTGTAATCACAGCTACTCAGGAGGCTGAGGCAGGAGAATCACTTCAACCTGGGAGGTGGAGGTTGCAGTGAGCTGAGATCATGCCATTGCACTCCAGCCTGGATGACAAGAGTGAAACTGTCTCAAAAATAAAAATAAATAAAAAGTATTATAAGACAATCTCAGAAAATCTCAAGAGCACATACAAATGTAGGTGAATCCATATACTTCTATTATCCCATGTTATATTTCATTACATGAAATATATATATATTTACTTGCATATAAAGCACATTTGGCCAGGCATGTTGGCTCACACCTGTAATCCCAGCACTTTTGGAGGACAAGGCAGCAGATCACTTGAAGTCAGGAGTTCGAGACCAGCCTGGCCTCATGGTAAAACCCTGTCTCTACTGAAAATACAAAAATTAGCTGGGTATGGGTGTGGTGGCATACACCTGTAATCCCAGGTACTTGGAAGTCTGAGACAGGAGAATCACTTGAACCCAGGACGTGGAGGTTGCAGTGAGCTGAGATCATGTCATTGCACTCCAACCTGGGCAACAGAGCAAGATTCTGTTTCAAAAAAAAAAAAAAAAACAAAACAAAAAACACCAAAGCACATTAATATTTAACCTGAAAGTTGTTATGTCTTATAAGGTTGCTAATCTTCAAATGATTGATAAAGGCAGTAACTTCCAACAGGTTCACTGTAGTAGTAGTGTGCTTCAAAAATTTTCCTATACTAATTCTGGAGTAAGACAGAAATTTCAGGATTTTAAAATATATCCTTGGCCGGGCGCGGTGGCTCAAGCCTGTAATCCCAGCACTTTGGGAGGCCGAGACAGGCGGATCACAAGGTCAGGAGATCGAGACCATCCTGGCTAACACAGTGAAACCCCGTCTCTACTAAAAAATACAAAACACTAGCCGGGCGAGGTGGTGGGCGCCTGTAGTCCCAGCTACTCGGGAGGCTGAGGCAGGAGAATGGCGTAAATCCGGGAGGCGGAGCTTGCAGTGAGCTGAGATCTGGCCACTGCACTCCAGCCTGGGCCACAGAGCGAGACTCCGCCTCAAAAAAAAAAAAATAAATAAATAAAATAAAATAAAATAAAATATATCCTTTACTTTAAATAGTCAGCCCTCTGTATCAGCAAGTTCAGTATCCACTAACACAATCGACTGTGGTTACAATTGAAAATACAGTATTCCTGGGATACAGAATCTGCATCCATTGGTCTTGAGCATTCATGGATTTTGGTATCTTCAGGGTGCCCTGGAACCAATACCCTGTGTATATCCAAGGATTAGAGTACATTTAACTTGTGAAAAATTCGAACACAGAACTACAAAAAATAAGGACAATGGCCAGGCATGGTGGCTTACAATTGTCATCCCAAAACTTTGGGAGGCAAGGTGGGCAGATCCCTTGAGCCCAGGAGTTCGAGGCCAGTCTGAGCAAAATGGCAAAATCTCATCTCAACGAAAGGGAAGGGGAAGGAGAAGGGGAAGGGGAAAGAAAGGGGAAAGGAAAGGAAAAAAAAACAAAAAAAAAAAAAAAAAAAAAAAAAAAAGGAAAAAGGAAAGGAAAGGAAAAGAAAAGAGAGGAGAAAGAAAGAAAATAAAGAATACTGTCTCTTATAAACCACTCTTCCCACCATCCCACACTAAGTTAGGATATGGTAACTCCCAATTCTTAATACTTTTTTTTTTTCCCCACACGGAATCCTACTCTGTCTTCCAGGCTGAGGGGTAGTGGCATGATCTTGCCTCATTGTAACCTCCACCTCCTGGATTCAAAGGATTCTCCTGCCTCAGCCTCCCGAGTAGCTGGGATTACAGGCATGTGCCACTACACCTGGCTTAATTTTTGTATTTCTAGTAGAGGTGGAAAGGTTTCGCCATGTTGGCCAGGCTAGTCTTGAACTCCTGGCCTCAGGTGATCTACCCACCTCGGCCTCCCAAAGTGCTGGGATTACAGGTCTGAGCCACCTCGCCTGGCCTGCTAAATACTTTCAAATGGGTACTTTTGAGCAGAGCAAGAAAGACAGAAAGTGCATGGGAATAGGGGTGAGGTTGCATAGGGTGTTCAGTGTCAGGCCTCTGAGCCCAAGCTAAGCCATCATATCCCCAGTACCCTGCACGTATACATCCACGTGGCCTGAAGCAACTGAAGAGCCACAGAAGTGAAAATAGTGCTTAACTAATGACATTCCACCATTGTGATTTGTTTCTACCCCACCCTAACTGATCAATGTTCTTTATAATCTCCCCCACCCTTGAGAAGTTTCTTTGTAATTCTCCCCACCCTTGAGAATGCACTTTGTGAGATCCACCCCCTACCCCCAGAACATTGCTCTTAACTCCACTGCCTAAACCAAAACGTATAAGAACTCATGATAATCCCATCATCACCTTTGCTGACTCCTTTTTCAGACTCAGCCCACCTTCACCTAAGTGAAATAAACAGCCATGTTGCTCACACAAAGCCTGTTTGGTGATCTCTTCACACGGACACGTGAAACACTCAGAGATTGGAAAAAACTGAGGCTGAAGAAATTTTAAGAATCTTGCCCAATGTCAACAGTTAGTAAACTGCAGCGCATCATTACAAACAATTGTAAAATCAGAAGAAAAAGTATATTTTTAAGAAAACATGTATAAAAAAGGACTCTAGCACAGTGCAAAGGACACGAGAGGTATTCACTCCAGGTATCACTGTGTCCCCCTTCCCCCAATCATACACACAAATCAGTCTTCTCTACTATTTAAAGTCAGGACATTAAGTGAACACAACAGCTCTGCAGGCATGGTCACCACCCTCGTTTAAACCACTTATGCCTCTCCCCTAGATACACAATGGTGCCTCCAATTTCTTAAGTCTGTAGCTAAATTGATTTTTTCAAATACAAATAGAATCCTTTCATCTTCCAAGTGAAAACATTCCACTGGTCTTTTATTACTTTATGGAGGCAGTTCTCAAATCTTACCTTGCATTATAATAATGTGGAGGTCTTGGTATAAGATTGCTTGGGCCACATCCCCAGCTTCTGATTCAGTAGGGCTGTTTTTTTTCCTAAGTTCCCAGATGATGTTGCTGGCCTGCGGACTGTACTTTGTGAACCTCTGCTTTAAGGAAAACAAAGCAAAAATATCCATTAAGATCTAGTCCGAGTTTTTTGCCTAGCTCCCCATCATGTCATATATCACAGTTATAATGTGATTTTACAGTTACTCTGCAATTCTTTTTTTTTTTTTGAGACGGAGTCTCGTTCTGTCGCCCAGGCTGGTGTGCAATGGCCGGATCTCAGCTCACTGCAAGCTCCGCCTCCTGGGTTTACGCCATTCTCCTGCCTCAGCCTCCCGAGTAGCTGGGACTACAGGCGCCCGCCACCTCGCCCGGCTAGTTTTTTGTATTTTTTAGTAGAGACGGGGTTTCACTGTGTCAGCCAGGATGGTCTCGATCTCCTGACCTCGTGATCCGCCCGTCTCGGCCTCCCAAAGTGTCTGCAATTCTTTACCTAACGTGTAAAAGTCCCTCACCAGGCAGCAAACTTATTGGTGGGAATATGTCTCTAGCTTGTTTAAGGAATAAATAAAACCTGTGGTAGATTCCAAGCTCTCAGTTTCAACCATCATCATACTGATTGTTAACATGCCTGCACCTAATGCGCCTCATCTACAAAGTAGAAGTAATAATTCGTACCTGTAAGACCCTTGTGAGGATTAACGGATGCTTACATAGGTCAAGGGTGCAGACGATGTAGGCTGGTGGGTTCTCAACTGGCAGCTACCACTTCACTCCCTTAACTCCCCAAACCCCACTCCCAAACACGTACATTAACTCTTTGAAGAAACATGGCCACTTCATAAACCCTAACTTGGATCGTAACATTGAAAGCTTGATTGACGCAGGCCCACCACCACCATTCTAACGCTACAGTCTTGAATTTCTCACAAAAGCCTCGCCAGAGAATAAGGAGATCCAGTCGTGGGCAGGCAGCGACTCGGAGGTCTGGGCACAGAGAATGTTCAGGAAGCCCCTGCCCAGTTAAGCCTCCGTCAAGACCCTTCTGGGCCTTTCCTCCGGCCTTCTCAGCTCACCTGAAGCAGACAGATCGGTAACCCTGGGCACAGGATAGGCAGGAGCCACCTACCCGGCGATGAAGTACTCAAACCTTAAACCCACCAAGTTCGCGGCTTCCTGCCTGGGGCTCAGCCTGCGCGGTGATTGGCGGTTCCTCCGGAAGTGGGCGGGAAGGCTCTGCACATGCTCTGTGACCCCGGGTGCAGGGACAGTGTGAAGAATATGAGAGCTGGGGGCGCCGTGCTCTGTGATGAGGGCCCAGTTGACCCCAACTAACATTTAATTCCCCTGGCTATCTTTTCAGATTTTTTGAGACGGAGTTTCGCTCTGTCACCCAGGCTGGAGTGCAGTGGCGCGATCTCGGCTCACTGCAAGCTCCACCTCCCGGGTTCACGCCATTCTCCTGCCTCAGCCTCCCAAGCAGCTGGGACTACAGGCGTCCGCCACCACGCCCAGCTAATTTTTTTTGTATTTTTAGTAGAGAAGGGGTTTCACTGTGTTAGCCAGGATGGTCTCGATCTCCTGACCTCGTGATCCGCTCGCCTCGGCCTCCCAAAGTGCTGGGATTACAGACATGAGCCACTGCACCCGGCAGATCTTTTCAGATTCTTATAATTTTTCATCAAACTTGAGGGTCCAAGTAAGTCGTATCATTTTTGATCAAACTTGAGGGTCCAAGTAAGTCTGCAAGTTGATTTTAAAAGCTTCACCAGCACAGCGTCCCCTCCCAGATGGTGAGAGAGTGGAAAACTTTGCAGGGTCAACTGCTTCCCGTAGCCTGGGGTCACAGGGTGGAGTCCTTGAGCATCCTTTACCCTTGAAAGAGGAACAAGCTCCCCTTTGGATTAGTTTGCATCTCAGTGGATGAGTGGGTACATCTAGCGTGCCCTGTGGGATTGTGCCCCACCCTATGAACTCAGGTTCACCTGAGGAAGTGACATGTCAGGCAGAATTTGAGGGATGAAGAGGCATTCGTTGGATCAATTCCACAGTTAAAGTCTTCAAGGCTGAAGGAAGAGCTAATGTGGAGCCTCTCAACTTTAAAGAATTTAGCATGGTGGCTCACACCTGTAATCCAAGCACCTTCTGAGGCAGAGGTGGGAGGATCACTTGAGGGCAGGAGTTCAGGACAAGCCTGGGTAACATAGCCAGGCCTTGCCTCTACGGAAAATGTTTTAGAAATGATGATTTTTTAAAAACTTGGTACAAGAGGAACTGAAAGAGGCCATTTGGCTGGCACTAAAACATAGGGAGGTGTAAGAAGTAGAAAAGATGGAAAATAGCTTTTGTGAGGCTGATGAGATGGGCGACAATGAATGCTGCAAAGCCCTTTAGGCAAAGTTGAGGATTTTTGCTTTTATCAAATGCAAAGGAAAGCCGGTCAAGCATTTTAAACATGACGTAATAATTTCAATTGCGAAATAATGACTTTACAATTCGGGGAAAAAGACCTGTTGATACCTTTAATAGATCCTAGAAAGGGTGTGTGGTGGGCAGTTAAATAGAGGTGTGACCTAGACAATCAACAGATAAAGTCTGGTTCCTAAACTTTTGAAATTCCAGTGGCTCCTGAAAAAGAAAGAAAAATAAATACCAGTAGCAGCAGCTTCCCCCATATTACTTTGTGGTGGGGTGGATGCATGGTATGTATGTATGTATTTATTTGTTTATTTATGCCCAGGCTGGAGTGCAGTGGCGCCATCTTGGCTCACTGCAACCTCTGCCTCCTGGGTTCAGCCTCCCGGCTTCAAGCGATTCTTCCACCTCAGCCTCCCAAGTAGCTGGGATTACAGGCCCACACCATCATGCCCAGCTAATTTTTTGTGTTTTCAGTACAGACGGGTGTTTCACTGTGTTGGACAGGCTGATCTCGAACACCTGGGCTCAAGCAATCCACCCGCCTCAGGTTCCCAAAATGCTGGGATAACTTACAGATGTGAGCCACCACGCCCAGCATGTATATTATAGTATTTAAACTGAAACTATGCACCCGGGTATGGTGGTTTCTTTCCCCGTCACAGTACATGGCGTTACAAATTACTTAAGATTGCTGGGCACGGTGCTCATGCCTGTAATCCCAGCACTTTGGGAGGCCGAGGCAGGCAGATCATGAGATCAGGAGATGAAGACCATCCTGGCTAACACGGTGAAACGTCGTCTGTACTAAAAATACAAAAAATTAGCCAGGCGTGGTGGTGGGCACCTGTAGTCCCAGCTACTCGGGAGGCTGAGTCAGAAGAATGGAGTGAAACTGGGAGGCGAAGCTTGCAGTGAGCCGAGATCACGCCACTGCACTCCAGCCTGGGTGACAGAGCGAGACCCTGTCTCAAAAAAAAAAAAAATTAAGATACTTAAAGGATTATAAATCATTCTACTATAAAGACACATACATATGTTTATTGCAACACTATTTACAATAGCAAAGACTTGGAACCAACCCAAATGCCAGTCAATGACAGACTGGATAAAGGAAATGTGGCACATATACACCATGGAGTACTATGCAGCCATAAAAAGAATGAGAGCATGTCGTTTGCAGGGACATGGATGAAGCTGGAAGCCATCATTCTCAGCAAACTAACACAGGAACGGAAAACCAAACGCTGTGTGTGTTTTCACTCATAAGTGGGAGTTGAACAGTGAGAACACATGGACAAAGGGAGGGAAACAACACACATCAGGGTCTGTTGGGGGGTAGGGGGTGTGGGAAGGAATAGCATTAGGTCAAATACCTAATGCATGCTGGTCTTAAAACCCAGATGACGGGTTGATAGGTGCAGCAAACCACCATGGCACATGTATAGCTATGTAACAAACCTCTACATTCTACTCATGTATCCTGGAACATAAAGTAAAACTAAAAAAAACCAAAAAACAAAAACATCACTCAAGAGGCCAGGCATGGTGGCTCACACCTATACTCCCAGCACTTTGGGAGGCCAAATCACTTGAGGTCAGAAGTTCCAGACCAGCCTGACCAACATGGTGAAATCCTCTCTCTACTAAAAATACAAAAATTAGCCAGGCCTGGTGGTCAGTGCCTGTAATCCCAGCTACTCAGGAGACTGAAGCAGGAGAATCACTTGAACCCAGGAGGCAGAGGTTACAACGAGCTGCTGTGGCGCCACTGCACTCTAGCCTGGGTGACAGAGAGACTCTGTCTCAAAAAAAAAAAAAAAAAAAATTAAGATAGAAACCCTATCAGCTGGGCGTGGTGGCTCATTCCTGTAACCCTAGCACTTTGGGAGGCCAAGGCGGGCGGATCACCTGAGATCAGGAGTTTGAGACCAGCGTGGCCAACATGATGAAACCCTGTTTCTACTAAAAATACAAAAATTAGCGGGGCGCGGTGGCGGGCGCCTGTACTCCCAGCTACTGGGGAGCCTGAGGCAGGAGAATCACTTGAATCCGGGAGGCAGAGGTTGCAGTGAACCTAGATGGCGCCACTGCTTTTGTTTTTTGTTTTTGTTGTTGTTGTGGTTGTTTTGTTTTTGAGACAGAGTCTCGCCCTGTTGCTAGGCTGGAGTGCAATGATGCGATCTCAGCTCACTGCAACCTCTGCCTCCCGGGTTCAAACGGTTCTCCTGCCTCACAGCCTCCCGAGCAGCTGGGATTACAGGCACATGCCACCATGCCCAGTGTTCTGTTTTGTTTTTTTTCAGTAGAGACAGGGTTTTACCATGTTGGCCAGGCTGGTCTCGAACTCCTAACCTTGTGATCCACCCGCCTTGGCCTCCCAAAGTGCTGGGATTACAAGCGTGAGCCACTGTGCCCAGCCAAGATGGCACCACCTGCACTCCAGCCTGGGTGACAGAGCAAGACTTTGTCTCAAAAAAAAAAAAAAAAAAAAGAGAACCCCATCAATATGGCACTGGATCCTCCTGCAAGGCTGACCACACCTCATAGGGTACAGTGTAATTTAACAGGATGGGGCCCACCTGCTAGATGCTAATTAACCTGAAGCAATGTGATTCATTTAATTATTCTTCTGGACCAATTGCTCTTAAGAATTATGTTCTTCCCTACAAAAAGAGGTCAGAAGCAATCTGGCTTTCACCCGTACTCCTCCACTGAGACTGTTCCAAGTTTATCAATTATCTAGTTTTTCAACCAAGGAATATTTTTCATGCCTGTTACATTCTAAGATGCTTTGTAGCCTTGCTCTGTGTCTGTTCAATCTGGATTTAGCAGATTACTCTCCCTCTTCCTGTCCATATATATATGTAAAGTTCTGCAAGGACACATGACAGACTTTTTACAGGTAGTCTGAAATATGTACATTTGTGTATATGTGTGTGCATACACATATGTGTGTCTGTGTACTTGTCCAGGTTAGAGGAAGAAAATAAAGAGTGGTGGTGAAGGCTTAACTTTAAACCAGGCTTCCAGGAGTTCAAATCCAAGCTCTGTTGTCTTCTACCTTGTGTGACTTTTGGCAGGTTATCTTTTTCTGCCTTTCTCATCTAGTTAAAAAAAAGAAAGGATGGGGCAAAAATAGTTCAACTTACTTCTTAGATTTGTTGAGTACTAAATGAGTTTTCATGAGTGAAAGCACATTGAACCGTGACTGGTGTGGTAAACGTAGTGTAAAATACACATAAAACATATTTTGTTGGCTGGGCACGGTGGCTCAAGCCTGTAATCCCAGCACTTTGGGAGGCCGAGATGGGTGGATCACGAGGTCAGGAGATCGAGACCATCCTGGCTAACCCGGTGAAACCCCGTCTCTACTAAAAAATACAAAAAAAAAAAAAACTAGCCGGGCGAGGCGGCGGGCGCCTGTAGTCCCAGCTACTCGGGAGGCTGTGGCAGAAGGATGGCATGGACCCGGGAGGCGGAGCTTGCAGTGAGCTGAGATCCGGCCACTGCACTCCAGCCTGGGCGACAGAGGGAGACTCCGTGTCAAAAAAAAAAAAAACAAACAAACATATTTTGTTAACATAAATACATACCAATTATCTATAAATTCTAAAAAATTTTTTCTGTTTCTCTCTGAGGGCGGAAGTAAGATTACAGAGGGAGGATATTTGTGTACCATTTTGCTCTGTATCATTTTGAACATTTTTTAAAGTATCAAAATGTATTTTCTATTTGAAAGTAATTTTTGAAAGAAAAAAATCAAGCTCTTTTGATGCAATTATTTTTAGAATAGATTGAAATATTCTGCTTAAATATGGTGCTAAACAAAAGGAAAAGGAAGAGCTCTGTGTGTGTGTGTGTGTGTGTGTGTGTGTGTGTGTGTGTTTTCAATTGAGACAGTGTCTCACCCTGTCGCCCAG